CATATATGTTTTAAGCATTTTACCCCAAGCAAAGCGAGAGAACCACTAGCATGTAGCGGGTTATAGAGACAGAAAGTGTGGGAAAAGACCGTGTATAGAGGGGATTGTAGAAAGGATAAAAGAAGAACGGCGATCAAGGCAACAGAAGATAACCATTGACGTTGCATTTAAAGTTTTGAAAATTCTAGTTATCAAGGACGCAAGTAAGAGAAAGTGATTTTCACTCTCGGGAAGCGCAAGAAAGAAACTGCTGGGGTAAATGTGTCGGTTGCATTTAACTATTTAAACATATCTTTAAAATCTTTGGTGAGCTCAAATTAAAAACACATATCTGATGGACATCTACTACTACTAATTATACTACTATTATTGAGCTTGTCACTAACGTAAAAAAGCATATATATGTAAATATCTCTTGACATTAAAATGCTAGCCATATTGATTAATATAAAAAATCAATTTGAAGACAGTTAATACTGATACGTAGCAAACCAAGAACGGTAAAATGGCTTCGAGAGATTTTCAGAATTTTTTTTTAATAGGTTCAATTTTAAATTTGTTTAAAATTGTAAAATACAGATATTTCAGCATTAATGATCCTGATTCATTTAAAATTAACAAAGAAGGACATAATTTTCCAAATACTCAACAGAAGAAAATCATTTAAAAACTAAGCTCAAAAAAATCTTTATAATCAGAAAATATTTTCTAGCTTTAAATAACCGGCAAAAGGGTTGATAATGAGTAGAAAACGATTCGCGTTCTAAGCGTGAAACGTGCTGCGTTGTTATCAAACGATTAATACAATTTACATTGATTTCGAGATTTCATAGATATTGAAGTTGTTACGGGTATTTGACGAATTAAGGAGAGAAACGTAAAAGTTATTATTTTAACTTAAATAATCTATCGATATAATAACACCTTTGGCACCGCCACTTAATCTGAAAGAGAAGTAAGCAGCTTTTGATTTTATCCGACATGAAATTGGGCGGGGGAAACTTCAGAAAGTGCAGAAATTTCTTAAGGGGAATCCAGATTTAGGATATTTATATTAATTCGTAAATGAAATGAGTTCATGAAGCAGAGTAAGAATCTCATCAATCCAAGAATTGCCAATTACTCATTAATGATGCATGTGTCTTTGGAAAGGATTCATTTCGTCAAACAATCTCTCCATATGTAGTCAGCCACGCCTGATTTTCCTATTTCCCCTCGTGGAACCAGTAATAAGGAGAGGTCAAGAGAAAAGCGATAATAATTAAAAAAATGTTACAATATGGGCTCTGGTAAAAATATGAAATGATAACAGTAAAAAAAAAATTGCAACACCGGTAAAAATGGTTGCTGAAGACATTAGGTTTATTACACCCAGAAATGCAACACAGATGTCCTCAAGGACACATGGCACAGTGGATAAAGGCGTTGGTTAGATCCAGTGACAGGACCCAATACCTTGTTAAGTCAGTGGAGAACTTTCAGAGGAAAATTAACAGGAGATAACTGATAACTGACATCCATTAAACATGGCACGTGGAACTAGAAGAGTCTACCCCAGTGAGCGAAATAAAGGGTTAAGTTCAACATTCCAAACACCTGAAGAAGGCCGATGCGTACAACGTTGTAATAAATATGGCGACAAAGATGAGGACAATAGTCCGAATAATTTAAATAAAGTACAAAATACCTCATCTCAGAAATATATACAGATATTTCTGTTCTTGTTTGATCATCGTCTCGTGAGATTTGACGCCTACCTTATCTCGTGTTTTAATTCTTGATCATAAAAACATTTTGTCATGCATGTTAGTGACACATTCTTTTTTTTGTTCTTTTATGTGTATAGTTCCTTCAGCTTCCTGTCTTTTATTGTCCTAATTAGCTTTTAACTCCATGCTGTCAATTTTTTTAATTGCCCATCCATCCGAAAATCCAGAGTAGTTTATTCGCTTATCTTGCCTTCAATATGATCTGTGAGTGTGAACCTTTTTACGACTTCTTTCCTCATTATATATCCCAGTAACTGAAACTGTTCCCGATTCTACGTATAATATCCTTATTAACTTCCTCATTAATCATATGTTATGTTTATGATATTCTTATTGACTGATATATATCTGATTGACTATTATATGGCAGTTCATTACACGTTTGTTTTTATCCAGCAAGTATTCATCTAAGATTTAATAATTTTCAGAATTTCTCGAAGACATTCATCGCTAATCCTATGCACACTGATTTTTCCATCATTTCTTAATACATTATCCAGAAAAAAATTTCTTTATCGTCTTGATTTGACTATAGAGATCATACCTTGAATTGTCTCTTTTATGACAAACATACACTCTGTCTCATAACAGGCAATAGTCCTTTAATCTTGCTTTCCATTAATATTTTTTCTGAATGTATTTCAATTTAGTTTCTGAGTAAATAGTGTTATTCGCATAACTCCTGGTTTCGATATGCAAATTAAATAAATCAGGTGAGAAAAGGTATCCTTACCTTACGTTTCTTTTTATTTTAGTCTATTCACTAGACACATTCTCTAGCCACAAACTGGCTGTTTGGAATCTAACAACGGATTACAGTAACGGTTTTCCCATGTAAATGAATCTTTTCTAATATTTGAAGTGGAAAAATATACCATTCATCCATGCACTGAATATTGCTATCACATCTGGTTTCGCGCTTCTGCTATGTATTTAAAAATTCTTGACAAAATCCAAAGAAAAATCTGCAATGTTATCGGTCCGGACCTGGCATCTCGACTTCCGTCAATTTCCCACCGCCGTAACATAGTTTCCCTGAGCATTTTCTATCAATATTTTCTTGGTGTTTTTTTTTCCGATGAGCTTTTCTCTATGGTCCAAAGAGTTTATGAACTTAAGCGAAGAACTTGATTGGCAGCTAGGTCTCATCATTTTACAGTTGAATTATCTAGATGTAACCGTAAGTTCTATGATAATAATGTCTTCCCTCGCACTCTTCGTTTGTAGAACCCTCTTCCTGTCACTTGATTTCCAGTTAACTTTGATCTTGAAATATGTTAATGTAATATCAATCATAATCATTTCTCTTATTCTTTAAACATTTGCCCAGATTTTCCTGCAGTTAAACTATTTAAAGGAGAAGAATATGACGAGATTGCGTCAAAAAAATTAAAAATCATTTGTTGAGTATTTTAAATATTTAATCTGAGAAACCACATCAAAATTTTCACTTTACAATATAGAGTTTATAAAAAGGGAAATTGGTTATCTGCATCTTGACCAAAATTCGATTCTAGTCTATTTCTAAGGCTATTTGTTTGCTTAGACTAGTCTGACACAAGGATGGCGAAATTTAAGATCTAGGGACCTAACTAAAAAGCAATGTATGGAGAGACTGATAATTTAATCAATGAACTTTGTTAATGACCCTTAAATATTTTCTGTACCTAGAAATGGATAAGCATAGAACTCATAAACCATAGTTTCTAAAGATTAATATCCTAACCCTCTCTTAATTTCGGGCGTTACAGTAAACATTTAATACAATTAACGTTGTCTGGCGTAAAGGCATCAAGAAATGGCCCGTGGCAAAAATCGAACTCATTATAATTAAGCTGTAATATTAGTTTACTAATACTTTATATAGGAGTCTGTTATATATCGATTGAGATAGACTAATCTTGCACAAGGCGATAAAGATTAATGCAGGCCAGAATCTGTATTAATGGCTTGCGAGATTAGTTTGTTAGCCATTGATCTATGTCATGAGTCCTTGGTAAAATTGAAATATTCAACCAAAAACATGAAGTACGACGAGAAATTATTTCTACAGAGTAACAAAGTTTCTTTTCTCATATGTTGGGCTGTAAATTAAAACTTGGAATTCTGTCATGTGCGCATGCGTTCATTCATGAAGATGGAATTTATTATCGGGCGTATAATGAATGCGAGAAATTTGCCGGAGGGAAAGAAATATTCAGTATTGAAAATATTAAAGACATATATTAAAACTTAATCTAAGGCTAAGCCTGAAACGAAAAATGGAATCACTGTTTCACGGTGAAACTGAATAGACGAAGATATTTCCAAAATCTGCCTTAGTCTGGAAGCAGGAAGTTAACTAGAAGAAAATCGTTTTATCCGAATTCACAATAGACGAGAATATTAGAACGAGATGAGATTCTTACAATAACTAGATGCATTGCTTATTGTAATTATCTACCCTGGTGGGGTACACGTTAAAAATCGAATTATTTGCATTCTTTTTTTTTCTTTGAATTGAAAAGCCTAGACATTACAAGAATAAGGCAAACTCAAAAAAAAAAAAAAAAAAAAAACGCGTCCTGAGTATAACTATATTCGGCGGCAAGGACTCTGATTGGAATGGTTTGAGGAGCGTGGCACTATCTCTTGATTTCTGTTGTTCCTAGGTGCACTATGACCTGGGGTGGTAGCACCTGTTAGGGTACGAGCTATGAGCAAATAGTTCAACTCCAAACTAGTGTCAAAACCACTATGAATGTATAAAAATAGATTTTTATACTAAAAGTATTAGCAGTATATTTTTCAAAAAAATATTACCAGTAATACTTTTTTGGTAAAAACAAATTACCAGCAAAATATTTTTGTAAAAGAAATTACTAATAAAATTTCGGCATTAAAAGACCTATAAGATGTTAATATGCTGCTAAACAATCAAACGAGCGAATCTACTCTAAAAATCTTGACGGCATTAAATATCCCATGTTGTAAACAAAACTAAACCAAAAAACACAAACTTATTAACCCGCAAGATTCTTACGAATGCCGAAACCGCCGTGTATAACTTAAGTTTAAATTTCGAGCGAAACTTAGAAAAGAACAGGCTTTATTTTTCAACCAAATCGACATCAAAAAAATGTTGCGCAGATCTAATCGAACGTATTCTTTACTTGTCTCCTCTCGGGTGTGGTGGTGTTCTTTTAGACATAAGATGCGTCCTATCTCTGTATCCTTCATTATTAGTAGGCTTATGGCTATATCACGTTCAAACACCGGTTCTCCTCGGAACACTGAAGCTAAGCAACGTCGAACATGGTCAGTACCTAGATGGGTAACTGTTTGAGAATTCCAGGCGCTTTAAGCTTAGGTGTGTGAGTGGTATAATGGATAATGGCTTGAAATTAGAAATTGAAGAACGGAGTTTCAAATCCAATTGGGTCCGTTATATTCACTTATACACAAATACCCTTGGGAAAGGTTATTTTCTAATCTTTTTTTTTTAATTTTCCAATCCAATTCTTCTCCACCCAGCTATGGGTTAATGAGTAAGAACGCATACATACGATCCATCGATAGAGATGCTGGAAAAATGGTCAGTTCCCTGTACCGTTTCAGTAAGTACTTGACGCCTTCTGCTATTCTCTACATTTGCAAGAGACAGATCAGGCCGAATATGGAGTACTGCTTCCATATAGGAGAGGAGGTACCCAGTCATCAACTTCCTGTTTTGAAAGCGTCTCTGCGTACTTGTGGGTTGTAAATTATCTTTCACCTTCCAAGCCTTTTCTCACAAATGAAACGTCGCCAACCTCTCTCTGCTCTCTCGCTATTTCCATGGCAAATGTTCAGGAGAAGTAAATTCCTTAGTTCCACAGGTGTTAAGCTTCACGGCTAAGATCCGCTATGTTACGCACATTGTAACGCATTCTCTTCTTATTCCATTGGTAAAATATAACTTCCACTCGAGCGACTTCTTCCCATCAATTGCTGCTTTGTGGAATCAACTCCCATGAGGATACTTCCCCAATAACTACATTCGTAACCTCTGTCTATATCTCTGAGATGAGGTATTATGATTACTTATATTATTTACATTATTCGGACTGTTATCCTCATCTTCATTGCCATATTCACAACGTTTCGGCCGTTGTACGATCCGGCTTTCTTCAGGTGAATGGAATTTCGAACTGAAATATAGCAATGAATATGAGGATAACAGTCTGAATAATGTAAATAATGTAAGCATTCTTAACCTGTTCAATTCTAGGGTTAACCATTATCATTCTAACATATCTGCATTAACTGAGCCTCCTACGATGTAACTCTCTAACTCGAGTGGCTTTTAAGCCTTGAACAATTGGAACATAGTAAAAAGTTATGTATCACTAAATCATTATTATCTCTAATAAATTCATATAATTAAAAAGAATCTGGTTTTAAATAACCTGGAAAAGGTTGATAAGCCATAAAAAAGACGAAATCAATGAAGCAGTCAAAATCTACGTTTAGTGTGCTGCGTAGCAGACTCATCCACAGGAAGTAAGCATCAATGTATTCTTGTCCCTTCCAAAAATCATATCAAGAACAGCGAACGACCAACCAATAAATACTGGATTTCTTTAACAAAAAGAAATCATTGGACCAAATGATTAACTGTTTAACCCATACTATATTTTAAACGCAGTTTTTCTCTTACTTGTATTTTTAAAAACAAATATTGCATAGGAATCAAATACAGGGTGTCCATAAAGTTCATGTGCAATGTAAAAAATTATAACTTTGTTTGTATTTGCGATAGAAATAATCTGTAAAAAATGTTATAAAGTTTAATGTACCTAGTTTTAAGTGTAGCTAAAATAACTAATGTGATTTTAGGCATTACTGTAAATCAGTTGGCAATTTTTTCCGTGAACTGCAAAATCGTATTACCCTTTGTATTGCTAATGATGGAGGACATGTGGAAACTTAAATAAAATTTCAATAAAACCTTAAAAGATATAAATTTACTTTTTTCTAATCCTTTTTACAAATTATTTCTATCGCAAATAGAAATAAAGTTATAATTTTTAAAGTGCACACGAACTTTATGGACACTCTATACAATAGAGACAATTATTAGTAGTACGAAATAGTATTTCTTTTTAATGTTCTCTCTTTTTTATGGTTGTAATGCTGCTCTGTACCAGTGCAGATATGACAGTAGAATTAATCTTAGTTTTCCCGTATTCTGAATGTGAGAAAATTCCCCAAGAACTGCCACTGTGTGGAACACAGTGTCCCTGGATGCTTGCCTGTCCTTCGTCATGGGCAAACGTTATCCTCCTTGTCTTTATAGTCTCCACTTACAACCACTTCCCGTTTTTGGTATCACATTTTAAAAAGCAAAGGGAGCCATAAGTTGATCTCGAACATCGTATTTTTTTTTTTGCTCTTTTGTATTAAAAAGAGATAAAAATAAGCAAGAACTAACATGATCGAAAACATGTCAAAATAGAATATAACCTTTATAAATCTCAGAGTGTGACAGCTTAAGGGCTGAAGGGGTAGCTCGATAGCTATACCAAGAGAGATGTAACACTTTAAGTGTTGAAGGGCTGTGTCGATAGCTATACCGCGAGATATGACACCTTAAGGTCGATAAACATACAAAGAGCCGAGACCAGATTTTAGTAAATTCAATTTTTGTTTCCTTCCTTGGGTAAAGAAAAGACAGAAATATTTGATAAGTTTTTACAAAAACCATATGGCCGAAGTTGACAAATGACTATGAAATGAACCTGGGAAATACTGGGTTGTCAATACGTCGAACGAAAAATAAAGATATGACGTCCTTCGATGACGAAGTCAGAAGTGGGGGCTGGCTGGGATTAAAATGGTTTTATTATTATTTTGGGAACGCTAGTCGAAAAAAGCCATCTAGATAATTTAAACACACTGAGAATGGCGAGATGCGGTGTAAAATGGAGACAAAATTGTTTTTAAAATCCAGGTTATGGAATTCTCTGCTGACCAAGATCCGGTAAGGAAAAGTCGGTCGCAGATAAAATTTAAGGTGTACTGGAAACAGAGTTAAGGAAGTGTTATTTTTATCACATCTCAAAAGAAAAGGCGAAGGTCTGAATCGATGGAGTGGTGAAATTTATTTAGTTAAAAGACGAAATAGAATTTTTTAAATCCGGGTTATTAAACAGGTCGGTCGAGAGATAAAATTTAAGCTTTTCTGAAAAAAAAAAGCAAATTTGGAGAATTGTTTGTTTATCACTTGTCAAAAGAGAGAGGAAGATGTGAATCTGTGAAGAGATGAAATTTCTTTGGTTAAGGGACGAAGTGCCAGAAGAAAAGACTCTCAAAAGAACAGTTAATGTATGCCCGATTGTGAAAGCGGAAGGGATGTAGAAAGTCCGTTGATAAAAATTTTGTACGTTAATTAAAATTAATTATTGGAGCTAAGCGACGCCTGCTTTGCCATTGCAGTCTAGAGATCGGATTGGTCGAAGTGACAACTTACGTAGAAACACCAAGGGAGACGAAAGAATTGCCTACACCTCTTGGGCAATATAGGTATGAGAAACCAATACAAGAAGGAGTTAGGATAGATCGATATTCCGCTGCCACTATTCCTCGGACGAGTGGCCTCTCCAAAACTGGATTCAAACAAAAAACTCTGTATGCAGAGTAGGGGAATGACCGAAATCCAAACCTAAATCCAACCCCAAGCCGAAGTTGGACAGAGAATCGAAAAGATCGAAAGGAGAAGCCGCCAGACGCCAGGCGAGGGTCGACCGCTTCACCGAACTCACATGACTTCCTGTCGCTGAAGAAGACGTCTAACTTGAGCTGTGTTCCAGAAGCCTTATCTAAATTTAGTCACGACGAGCAAAGTGTCGGGAAATATTCCAAAAGGAATGGTTTGAATAACTTTACATGAAGAACATATATTCATACCTGAAGCTTTGTACAAGAACCGTTATATAAAACATTTTCTATATTACAATTTATCCTAGAACATGCGGCTTCATTTTGTCTGGGCCAGACTAATTCAATGATTCCTGTTAACAATTGATCCTTGCCAGCCTTGTGAGCTAAATCAAACACAACGTGGGACAAAACACGGCTTGGATCGAAGTGATCCCTTCTACGGTCAGCTGTGGAGATGGAACATCGAATGAACTGGCTAAGCGAACGTCGCAACGTCTTAAGAGTATTTATGGAAAAATAATGTTAAAAATGGCTGCTTCTGACATCGTTGTTTATTTATGGGTACCCTAACACTGATGACTTGTACCAAATTTGACTAAACTTCTGTCTATATCTCTGAGATTAGGTCATGTGTTTATTTGCATTATTTGCATTATTTGGACTGTTATCCTCATCTTCACTGACATAATCACAAAGTTTCGGCCGATGTACGCTCTGGCCTTCTTCAGGTGATTGAAATTTCGAACGAAACCCTTTATTTCGTCCATCGGGGTAGATTTTTCTAGTTCCACGTGCTATGACGCTTCCGGATGTCTCAATTCTCCAAGTTTTGTTCACATCTGTTGTGGCCTGGTATTGAACTCACAACTCTTTGGGTCTAGTCACTGGATCTAACCGAGGTCTTGACGCAGCGGGTAATCTGTCCTTGAGAACACCTCGGTATCAATTTTTTGGGGGGACTTATAATCCTAATGTCTAAACAAAGATATTTTACCGGTGCTCATATTAAAATTTTTGTTATTATTATTGTATCTTTTACCAGAGATTATATTACTATGACATCCGGAAAAGACATGGCACGTGGAACTAGAACGATTTACCCCAGTGGACGAAATAAAGGGTTCGTTTCGAAATTCCAATCACCTGGAGTAGGCCGGAGCGTACAACAGCCGAAGCGTTGTGAATATGGCAATGAAAAACGAGGACAACAGTCAGAAAAAAAGTAAATAATTGGCGAAACTTCCTAAATATTTATAGAGAAAAAAAAATCAAAGCAAAACTGACGCGTGACGCGGTTGATAAATATATATATATATATATATATATATATATATATATATATATATATATATATATATATATATATATAAACTGGGCAGGTGCGCTGTTAATGGATAATTGAACAGCACGCTAAAAGATTGTCTAATTCAGTTTATATTCTATTCAAGTCTGGAAACTGTCCCAAGTAAGTGCCTGGGGGTTTCCCCGCTTTAAGTTTAGCCACTTATAATGTTTCATCAATAAAGTAAAAGGAAAATAATCACTAGTAAGCCTATGACTGAAGTCATCAATGATCAGATTAATATCGCTTTAATTATTTTTTGGACAAAGAGGTAATGTTTGGATAAAAAAAAGTAACTATTAATTTCAAATGCAAA